TGCTTACTAAGATCCTGGGCGATTCGAAGGTTTGGGCGAGAACGGGGTCATCGCTCTGGGCGACCGTAAGGTACTCCATTCGCTCAGATTCTGGGCGTCTTGCAAATTTGGGCAATGATGTTACCGTGTTCATGGGCTTCCACCGCATTCATCAATAATCCTGTTTGGACCTTTATCTTGGATTCCCCAATTGGGCTTCACTCTTTGGGCTATTTGATTTTGGCTGCACTTTTAGTGTGTCAACAATTCCACATGGATAACTATCTGAATGTCAGTGGTTAATCTCTAACATTCGGTAGTGGGATTGGTCCTTTGACTTGAGGTCGTCATAGTACCTTATATGAGGACATTCATGCTTTGACGCTGTTGGATATTACTCTGCCAAAGGCCACTATACGGCATCTTTCGGGTATGTAAAGAATCGCATGAAAGTTGTGAATGACAAATAGAGGATTCGTTACTCTTAGATAGTAAGGGATTATGATCTGCATTTCATTCAATTAAGTCGATGACAAAATCCTTGGTCAATGTGTACTAATAAGTTGAAAGGAGTTTTCGACTTATATTGACTTAATAGTGAGTGAAAGATATGATAAATAATCGAGATTGACACACTTCCATATCTCATAATTGATCGGATCATATTTACAAATGGATTATAATTTCACGGTAAACGAACGAGTTTGTTTTTGTCATACCACGTGACATTTCCCGTCACATGTATTGTACTGACACATTATTAGATGTTAATCCGAGACGACGTGTGTGAATTGGTGATAAATTAAAAATGTGTTTTAATTTATCAATTTTGATTATATCAAAATAATATTTTCACGTCGTTAAATATCTTGATAGGAAACCTGATGAGTCGCACACAAAAGAGAATTGAAATATTACAATTTGTCAATTAATTAATTTAACAGTCGTTAGATAAATTAATTAATTTGGTTGATTATTTATAGGTCCGAATTAATTAACTGAATTAGTTAGTTCACGGATCGAATTTAATTAAAGGGATTAATTAAATATTAGATCGGGTCAGGCCAAGCCCGTTTAGACTTGTATAAATACATAGCTAGGTTTTCTATTCGTAGAGAATTCATTACTCTTGCTAGCACAAGAAGCAAACCATAATCCTACAATCTTGTTCTCTATGTGGATCACTGTTGAAGGCTGGACAATTGAACAATTGTGGATGACAGATCAAAGTTGCAGGAACAAAAGAATGGCAAAAGGTTTGCAGAATTTTTCAAAGGTACATCTTTTATCACAATTTCTATCTAAATACAAAGATGATTCCTGGTGAGAATTTAAATTTGTTTTAATTTTTCGCTGCGCATGTTAAGTAGATTCCCAACTAGGGATGGCAATGGGCCAAACCAAGCCGGCTCAACCCCTTAACCCACGAGCTCGGCTCGAGCTCGAGCTCGTGAGCTCACGAATCGAGCCAAGCCCACGAGACGCTCGCGAGCTCGTGAATTTTTTTTTTTTTTTTTTTGGTAAATTTGCACATTTTAGACCTTTTTTTAAAAAAAAATCATATTTTATGAAAATGGCTCATGGGCCGTGTGCCCACAAGCTCGACGAGCCGAGCCTGCTCGGCTCGTGGGATTGATCCCTTGCTCGGTTCGCTCGAGCTACTCATGAGCCAAATTTTGATGAGCCAAACCGACGAGCCACTCGGCCCATTTGACATCCCTATTCCCAACAGTTGAGAGTTACATAGCAGAAAGTGGTGAATGAAGAAGGAAGAATCATGCTTGATTATTGAGATGTTGAAATTGCATCCAAATCAATTTTATTAATTTTGCAGGTCAAGCATGTTTGAAGGAAGTAATGGTTCTTGAAAGAGTTGCTGCATTTTACCCTTGTTCTCCATTTTTTTTCCTTTTTGTTAATATGTATTCCTAATTAATGAATCGGTGGTGATGGGTTGTAGGGTTGATTTGTGTGTAGATTGTTTGGAGGCAATGGTGATGAAGCGAGTGGTGGTGGTGCTGTGGGATCGTGAGATGACATCGGAATCATTTTGATAGTGTAATTGTAACCAATAGAATATATAAATTGTGATCAATCAATAATAGGAATAGATTCTTGATCCTCATAGAGGAAAAAGATGACAATGTATTTACGATAACAAGTCATGGTCATAAAAGAACAGGTCGTGTGAGCTAGAGATGTCAACAAGTCGAATCGAAACATGAGGCTTAGGCTCGACTCGAGTAAAATGGGGCAAACTTTTTTCGGGCCTAAGCCGAGCCGAGCCGAGCAGAGGTTTTGCTCGGCTAAAAAAATCTAAGCTCGGGTCTCACCAAGCCAAACCAAGTAGAGCATGCTCGATTTTTTTTATTTTTTTTTTAAATTCTTGATAATTCTAACTTTTTTTAAAAAAAAATTAAAATTTGTGCAATTTTTATGAATTATAAATTAAATAATGTTACAACCCTCATCATTTTTTCAGGTTTGGAACCAGCTGCAATCAACGTAGGTGAAGTTAAAATTGATATGAAACTTAGAAATTTAACTCATATTTATAGCAAAAAAATATAACCATTTTAACTATATTTGAAATTCATATTTGAAATTTAATTTTCAAATTTCATCTACTCTTCCGCCATAATTGTTGCCTACTTAAGGTAGGGAACAATGTTTCTAGTCTCTCGTTTTAAATTTTTTTTAAGATAACGTTGTTTGCTGTCATTTTTTTATATTTTATTATTTTTTTTAAAAGCTCGAGCTGAAATGTGTCATGACACAGGCTGGTCTGGGTTGCTGGGCTCGAGCCAATGCCTTGAAATGGGGCTTAACCTGAGCTTCGGTTCGGTTCCTTCGAACCACGAGCCGGGTCAAGCCATGGGCCACCCAAGCAGACGATCCAAATACATTGAGGGCATTACAGGTCATAGATAGGCACAGTTAACACATGCCTGATCATAAACAGTCACAAATAACATAGATATGGTCACAAATTGTAGCAGTTAGTATAGATCTGGTTACAAACAGTCACTATCACACACAAACAACACATCTAATAAACACATTCATGCAAATATTTTATAAAATATACTCTTGTTAAAAATTTATGACCTGACCATAGAAATCCTCATATTAAGAACTTTTGAAATATGGACCCATGTTAACAGATTCATAATAACACAGGTATGGTTACATATAATCACAGTTAACACAGATATGATCACAAATAAGCACATCTAACTAGTGTTCTAAAAAGCTTGCCTCAAAGCTCGAGTAAGACACCTCACTTCATGCCTAGACTTTTTTTTCCCAATTCCTAAATGGCTAAATTTTTTCCTTCATCTCTTTCATCTTCCATAGATGCGCTTTATTAGTTTTTTATAATTTTTTTAAAAGTCTTTTATTTGACTTTAACTTAGAACTTGTTTGATTCACATTTTTTACAAAATACGTTTTTCATTCTTTTCTTTTCAACCATATATTTTTCAATAAAATAATATTACACGCAAACTTAAAATTTTTCTTTATTTTTAACTACACATTATTCAACAATCTACTATTCAAAAAATGATTAATCTATTTGTACCCGAACGTTTACACACCCAATACATTGGGGGTGGGGCCCGCGCACAATAAATGCGTGGGACCCGCCCCCCATGTGAGGGGTACATGTAGCAAATCCCATTCAAAAATGCATTCTTAACATTTAATGTGGCTCAAACAAGCTATTATTATTATTATTATTATTAAAAAACTTTTCACTTGACTTTTATTTTAAGTTTTGAAAAAGATTTTGACCATGTTTGAGCTCTATTCTTTGGAAAAATACATTTTTAAAAAGTGTTTTGACATCATTTTACCTACACATTTTTCAATAAAATAATATTATAGTCAAATTCAAAATTTTTTCTTATTTTTTATCAACACGTTTCTCATCAATACACTCTTCAAGAATACATTCTCATGAAAAGAATGGGGCTTAAACAAGGGCTTTATCTATACAAAAATTAAAAATGACTATCTAAATAGTTAAATAAGATTTAAGTTTTGATGTTATCTGCATTATGTAACTACGGTTCTTGTTACTCATTTTATTACAAATTCCAAAAATATGTATGAAGTTCCGATAAATCTACTAAGTAGAACTTGCTTAGTTGAAAATTGAAACTATAAAAATATTCTACTTTTGGCTTTTCGAAAACTTGAAAATTGTATAATTGACAAATGGTATGTGTTATTAAGTAAATATTGTATTTTATAATTTTAGATATTTAGTATGAATTATTTTAATTATTGAATAATTAAAATAATATTATAATAAGAAATTGCTTTTTTACATCTGCTTGAAACTTCAACTTGACATCTAGCGATACTTTACACTTTTTAGAACACTACATCCAACATATTCTTGGTCACAAACAGTAAGAGATAACATGGATTTGGCCTGTTAACACAAATCTAGTCACAGCACAGAAAACACATCCAGTAGTTTGCATTCATGCAGACATTTTATAAAAAACAAAGTACAAACTCTTAATAAAAACTCGTGACTTTTATATCACAAGATGAATTCACAATATATGATCCACATAAATTCTTCAGATCTATGTAACCAAAAATTAGGTGGTATGAAAGGATAATTATGAGATTTTGAAATATGGATATTCAGATTCAACAGATTGTCATATTCCAACAATTCCACTTGAATGGATTTCAAAAATCAATGATGCGATTTTGACTTAATTAGTGGAAACTTAGCTACTGACGAAGCAGAATCATCCATTTATGGTTAATTTGAATGATAAAGTGTTGGAGATTCTGCATGAAAGTGGCGAATCGTATTTATTGAGAGAGATTGAAAGGGCAAAATACATGTTAGGTGAGAGAATTAGCTATAAAAAAGGGAATAAATCTATATTTTAGGATGATGATTAATTATCCTTATTTAAGTTGTAAAATATATATTAAAAGTATGTTTATTAAAATTTTAACACCTGATTTGAAATTTTTCATAAGTCTGGTAAACGTGAAATTGTATTTTTAATGCGTTGTGGTTACTTATTTCTCCCTTAGCCAACGGCCTCGAAGCAGTCGTCCATTGGATTAACCGCCAAATGAAGCCGCCAAATGTTGACAGTGACGTTCGGATGGATGGCGAGAACGACAATGCTATAGCCTACGCTGCTTGTGCAAATCATCACCATTTTCAAATACAACCTCGTCTTCCAAATTTGAATCGATTTAATTAATCTGTCCGTACTCGTCTCGCGGAACAACCACCGCTCACTTGTTAAAATGTGAGTGTGAATTCAACTGCAATTTAGATTTTGATCCCCTTTTTTTTCTTTTTTTTTTATTTGATGGTATTTTATTGCTGACTTTTTTTGTTTTGATAGTAAAAGATGGGGAAGAAGAAAGTGATGTTGCCCGCGAGTGAGGTTGACTTGTCCACAGTGAAATATCAGTATGAGAAAATTGAAGGTTCATTTGCTCTCTTTCTGTTTTTGGGGGCAAATTTATTTGAATTTTTTGCAGTTTATTATTAGTTGAATATAATTTATGGATTGTATTGATGATTTTGCAATTGCAGCGCCACATTTGACTGGATTCAGGCTCAAGTTGTTTGTAAAGTTACTTGAAGCACCGTTGGTTGGCTCTTTGATAATATCTAACTTGAAGAAGGAGAATAAAATGGTTGAGGTTGGATATTTTATTAAATACACAAATTCTAAAAAAAAAAGAAAGAAAGAAAGAAAGAGAGTATCAATCCATTTCGCTTGCTGCAATCGATACACATGAGTGCTTAGCTTGATGTTTGTGATTGACAGATATTGAAGAATACTGTGATACCAGAGTCTCCCATGTTTAAACCTGAGTTTCCTCCTCAAGGTTTATTCTCCCACTATTGGTAGTTTCTTAATTTTTATATTCTTATTTATTTGAAAGTTTTTATAAAAGCTAAGTTTATATGATGAAACAAATTGTATAACTGTGGGATTTTTGTTGAATCTACATATTTTATGTTTGACAGGCTGGATCTGACTTATTTTCTTGTTTGCCGCATAATTTTGGTTACTGGTTTCTAGAATATTTTGGAACTATAGTGATGAGCCACTGGTTATTGCCAAGTGATTGAAAGTTATAAACATTTTTTGACTTATGACACATGGACTATCTCTACCTATCAAAAGCCAGTGAAATATAATAATGTGGGTATTGGCTCTCAGCTCTTGAATTTTTCAAATGAAGTTGGTCAGTTATTGAGGTTGTAGATGCTAATTTGAGAATAAGAATGTAGCAAGAACTTGAATGAGGTTTGAATGTGTCACTGAAATTGCACTCATTGTTTATGCCCTCCGTACACCATTGATCAAAGTTGAGTGAATTTGAATTCAGAACCAGAGACTGGCGTTGTTCTGTTGGAAGAAGGTGGAAATCCTATAGAGAGAGTTGAACTTGCCTTGAAGTGCCTTCCAGATTATGACCCTGCTAACAATTGGAATTCCGATACTTATGCATCTTTCCGCTATTGGAAGATTCGTGATTATGCATATGCTTACAGATCTAAGCTCACCACCCCATCTATAGTGAGTAATTTTGATGCTTGGTTTTCGACCTCTTTCTAATTATTGTTTATTCAGATTACTTGTATCACGTAGGTCGCAGAGCGCTTCATCTCAGCAATTGAAGTTTTCAACAATAAGATGCCCCCGGCACCACTGCTGATTTCTTACGACCCTGAGCATATAAGAAAGCAAGCTGCGGTTTCCACACAAAGGTTTGAAGAAGGTAACAGTTATGTGTATTTGGTATCTGATGTTTCGCCTATGACCTTGATACATCATATCCCATTGTTCTCTATATTGAATCACCTTGTCTTAAAGCTTAAGTTGTTAGAAATGAACACATTTGTTTTTTTAATCACAATTTTCACAAATGGGTGGCGGCAAGACTTTGACATAGGACCTTTGCATACTCAAATACCACAGTGAACCACCTCATATAAAAGACAAGCTGTAAGGGAAATAAATTTATTTAATATAGTCTTCAACCTGTACTTACACATGTTTATTGGGCTGCTGTTAACTCAAGATCCAATCTTACTGTCTGACTGAACTGTGCAGGAAAACCATTATCAATCTTGGATGGGATTTTTGTGGCAATTAAGGATGATATCGATTGCTATCCTCATCCCTCAAATGGTACTTATTTCAATGTTCATTTATAAATCATGATTATAAGCGTTCATCTGAGAAGAATAAATAAACGATTTAACTTATAAATAGATTAAAATGAGTAGTAAAAAAGTTTATAGTAATTGTGGATCCATTGAAACGCGTGATTGTAAATAAGGTTGACCATTTACAAATGATTTATAAGTCTCGCCAAATGGAGGCTAAGCAATCATTGAAATTAAGTGAGTCTTTATGATGAACAGGTGGAACAACCTTCTTTCACAAGATTCGCTCTGTTGAGGAAGATGCAGTTTCTGTGTCAAGATTACGTAGTTGTGGTGTGATCTTAGCTGGAAAGGCAAATATGCATGAATTGGGACTAGGAACGACAGGAAATAATCCAAATTATGGGTATGTTATGCATAGCAACTAGCATAAAAATTGTCATGCTGTTGAGATTATCTATGTTCTAAAGCTTCACTAGTGATAAATCAGTAACAATTAAAATGGTGTAAGGGCCTGATCAACGCTATTTCAGGCTCACGACAGGTACTTCCATCCAAGATAGATCATCCAAGTTAGCTAGTTGTTGAGAAAATGCATAGCTGTAGTATGGAGTCTTTAAATCTCACTATACTAGTTGTTTATATGAGTTCATACTGATTGTGGATCTTTCTAATTAATTTCTAGTTTGAATATATGAAGCTGTATAACAGCAATCCCATACATAATGTTTTATCTTCTTTCTGATAGCATCCTTACTGCAGAGTAGTAAAGGAAAAGAAAGAAGAAAGAAGAGAGAACCGGAGAGTTAGAAAGAAAATTTAGGGAGAAGTTCCATATCACCCCTTACACAAATCAAGTTCTCACTTATTAGAAAACAGCAGTCATAGTTATATGAACAAGAATGGAAATTGCCAATAACTGTTACAAGAAAATTGTAAACACTGTATACTTTCCTAACTTGTAATTCTTATTAAGAAACTAAAATAATATCATCTTTCTAAAGTAATGTCTAAAATAAGTACATTGGAATTGTAATCTTCACCATTAGAAAGAAAAATACATCAATAGGAATGAAATCTCCATAAATTAATTGTTATACGTGTTTTGTATTTTACTTGTTAACCCCATGTCATATATGCTAACCTATTGTCATTTGGATTGCTAATTTTCATTTAGCAGAGACTTGACCACATTTTTTTTTTTTTTTTTTTGCCACCCACCTTCTCACCTTCTTACTCACCCCTTTCACTCTTCTAATAGTCTTATTTACCACCCCCAGTACTAATAATCAAAGGACATGAAAATTATGCTTATCTCATCCCTGAGTTTCTCCAGAAACGTAGTCTCACTCTCCCGCAAAATGTCATTCAAAAGTTTATGGTTATATTGTTTCTCTTCATGGTTAAAAAGACAAACTGCTAAAGCTTGTATCCCTCTATTAGAGTTTCTTGATATTTGGAGGCTGCACATGTATATCACTTATTTGTTTTTGTGAAGTTATGATAACTTTCTCTATCTCAGTGTGAGCACAAGTCTTAGTAAGTACTCAAGTTGCAACTTGTTCTTGCAGATGCTATGTGTTTGTCATATAATAGTATGTTTGCATTTTCGAAACCATTTCATGCAAGAAAACTTGTACATGTTTTTCTCCTTTTTCAGTTCCTTGCGGCAGATCTTTGGTAGAACATCTAAGTATCAGAGACATATATTCTGGCACTTCACTTTTTGAGTCTTCTGAACGCTGTTTTTCAGATCTCTATGTGACTCAGGGACTGTAGAGATTATTGGAGCTATAACATCTACTGTTGAGGATGCAATCCTTGTGTAAGTAATTGTGCCTGCTATATTCTCATACATACAGTCTGATACGTTCACCTGCATGTATCCTCTGTTGAATAGAATATCAAATAGAAAGTAGACCATATTTCGAACTTACTCTGTTTATCATAAAAGTTCAGAAGATGAGTTTACTCTCTGTAGGTGCTACATCATAACACTAATAGATGTGCTTCTTCACGCTTTTTATTTTGCAGGTTGTATTTTTCATTTTTAAGAGGATAAGGAAATAAGAAACTTGAAGGAAAAAAAGAGATTTCCAAGAATTTTTCCATGTTTATCTTGAACTTTTAATTTTTGAAGTCAAAAACTTAAATTCGGAAAATGTCTTTCTGTACATTAGAATTCATGCTAATATTTTCCTCCAATTTATTGGTTCACCTGTTTTTCCTTTAAAACAAAAAACTTTTAAGTAAGAGATAACTGATAGCATCACTTTATTTTTACCAGTCTATCTCCCCAGTGTACCCAAGCAAATGATTTTTCAAGTGGTTTCCCTGTCTATAAGAATTATTTCTCTGGCCTTATTGCAATGAATGGACAAAAATGGCTCTATTAGTGGGAATCTAGTTACAATCTGATATTTGAGAGCCACAAGTCTCCAGTCTTATGTATCTGGAAGAAAGTTACTAGGAATCCAATTCTCCAAGGCACCTATAAGCATTCGTTGAAAACATACAGTTGGCAACCGCTTATGTGTTAGTCATCCATACAATTGCTACTTAATTAGTGGAAATCCTCCAGTTTCTTGACCAAAATGATTGTAACTTCTCCACACAGCGTTCAAAGTTGGATGTGGGCTCACAATTGGATGGTTAATTTCTTTGAGACAAATTGATGATCAACTGGCTATTTGTCCAGATGGCAGTTTTATTTGGTCAGGTGTGGACTGCAGGTCGCACTTTAACATAACATACCAAGTGCAATATCAGATTAGAAATTTGGAAATCTTTCATTCTTGTATGTTTCTGCATAACATTCAATCATCTCAGTCTCTATTGTTGCACAGCTTTTCTCCTTCAACTATCAATTTTACTAGGTTTGTTTATTCAAAATGATGAATGCTTTGTTGAACCCAGTTATTATTTACTGGGAAGCTGGGGTTTCCTAAATAATTATGACTACTTTTCAGGTATGCAGCAATTTTGGGATCCTCAATTGATGATACAACCGCTTTGAAACCAGTAATCACCTGACTTCGTTATTTTTGCTCCCTTTTCAGATTTCTGAATTTATAGCTCTAGTATATGATAGTTAGCTATTTCAAGTCCTGTTAAGACTGAAATGCATTGTCAAGATGATTCAGATAGGAACTCCGTGGTAAAAAATTATTGATCACTTCAGAAAGTCGCAAAAAATATAGGAAGTTTACCTCTTTATTCTTCTGCAGTCACTCCCTTGTCTGCCCGATTTATCTTCACATGACAGTTCAAGTACTCTGGAATCAATTCGATTAGGGAGGTACACAGAGGTGACCACAATACCCTCTTTGGTAAAGATAAAATCTTTATTAATGTGCGACTCCAGAATATCACTTCATGAGCAAGTGATTTTTCTCCTGCAGTGGTTTAATGATGTATTCTCAACTGATATCTCTGAGAAGTGTGAGGATGTTCTCAATCATTTATCAGAAACATATGGGTGCAAAGTATGTCAACTGCCCTAATTTCGAATATTCATGCTTGTCAAATCTAAGAAATGTTTCTTTTTTACGATTATAAGAATGAATGGAACAATTGTCGGATTAAGATAATATGAGTGCCTGCTTTAAGCTCCTTTCCAATTTCTGTAAAAGACAGTGGAGATTGTTATACCAGAGCTTCGTGAGATGCGCACGGCTCACCTAGTTTCAATTGGTTCTGAACCGCTATCTGGACTGAATCCTGAAGTTGAAGATGGGTAAGATCATTTTACCTTTGGGATTTATCAGTATGCAAGACAGCTTTAAGAATGCATGCTCAGAAAATTCAATATTGATGAGTAGTTTTTTTTTTTTTTTGATGAATAATCTAGCTTTGATTATTTGAATTTCATTTTCTTTTCTTTATTTTTTATGTAGAAATGCAG